ATTCAATATTCACTCGATTTCTCATGTAGCGATTTCCTTATTTTGTTGTAATTCAAAAACGAATAACTGTAGATACATGAAAATTTTATTGAATGTTTATATTAGCATTTCCTATACACCATACAATTTTGAAAATATTTTGACTCTTTTTGAGCTCTTTACGGACATTTACCGCATTCAATTTTTTTTAGTTTTTTTTTCTATAAATATCAATAAAGTTTTATCTATTGGGCCAAAAAGTGTAAAAATTTAATACAAGGCTCCTGATAAATTGTTACAATATTAGTTGAAAAATATTAAAAATACATAAGCACACTTTTTTTTTTATAAACATTTAAAGATCGAATTTTGACAAAATTTATCAAAATCTTGAAAATTATCAATCATTGTAATTAATAAATTATAAAATGTTCAGTTTTTATAGCTAAGGATTGCAAATTTAAAACAAAGGTTCTCATAAGTCGTTCATACTGTAACCAAAAAATCTAAAAAATATATGAACACAGTTATTTTTTACAGACATTTTAAATTCAAATTTGGACGAAATTACATGTTAAAAAACCTAGAATAACTGTTTTAGTTATTTTGTTGTGATTGAATAATATTATTCGTGGGTACTTGAAACTTCTAAAGTGTACTATTATATATCTATGATAGTATCACGGTTTTTTTTTATGTATAACGCGTTATAAGTACCTAATGGATATTGTGATATGATTAATTTGGAATTTATTATAGGTACCTATTATAGGTCAATTTTTGGTTTAGTACCATAGATATGTTTATAATATTTCTTATACCTAGACTGACATACCGTCTCCGCTCAGAATCGTTTTTCTTATACAATGATATTATATCTTTGAATTCAAATTTAATTTCATCCATTACATAGTGACCTACTTATAACTTACTGTACAGCAGAGCGACACCCACTGGCCCACCTTTTTTTTTTAATATAAAATTATTAATTATACCTACCTACCTTTTTTTAAAGCTAACAAATAACATTTTTAAATAAATGTTTGTAATAAAATCAGTTACCGTAGGTATTTATATTTGTATAATATTATTTACTTTAATCAATGATGAAATCCAATAAAATAATTTTATTATATTTTTTTTATGTTCCTATTTGTTAACGTAAATGGTCCACAACTATACTGAATATTATAATAATCAAATTTATTATTATTTATTATAATATAATAAATTGGTTACACAATATAATATAATATCAACGACGCGTGACACAGTCGAGACTGGACAGACTATATTTTTTTGTGACCTAATGTCCACTACTCCACTATTAAAATCTATTACGGCCCGCATAAGTTATTGGTTGGTTTAATGAAAAATAAAAATGAATCAGGGTCCCGGGTATATAATATATTTAATTAGGTAAATAGTAAATACGATGAACTAAAACATTACTATGGTTTTGAATTATTTACACAGACAGGCCAGAATGATTAAAAATAAAATAATAAGTAATAATATTAATAATGATTAGGTAGGCAATTACTAATGAGTCTACAAACATTACAAACGTGTATGGGATATTGAGTATATTGTTATATTTTTCTTTTATGAATGACTCTTTTACTACCCCAATAACATTTCTTTTTATAATATAGTTCTATAATATTTTCTGTGAATATGCAACATAATAAGTAATAACTATTATTATGAATTATTATTTACGTCTTAACTCTTAATATATTTAATATTTCGGATTTCAATGGTGTTTATTTTATTTTTATTTATTTTTTATATCCTGTATACAAAATGTCTACCAGAAGGGGTGCTTTGATTTCAACATACCTATAGTATCTTATCTTTTAGCAAATTGGATCAAGATGGTACTTTAGAGAGGTAATTTTTTGATTTTCTCAATAGTTATTTAATGCCACGGGAAAAACTAATGACAAATTACGAAAAACCTCTAAAAATGGTATTTTAATTTTTAACGATTTGTTTATCACGGTAGCAACGAATAAAAAAATATAATATTATAATATTAATTCAACTTAAATTCTATAATAAATAATAAAAATTAAAAAAATCCAGACTGATAAACCGTCCCCGCTCAGAATCGTTTTTAGTATACAATGGTATTATATCACTGAATTCAAGTTTAATACAATCCATTATACATTGACCCAATTTTAACCTACTATACAGAAGAGCGACATCCACTTACGTGCTTTTCATATAATAAATTTTAAATATGTGGTTTAGGAAAAAAATTAACTTAACATGATAATAAAATTAATTAACTCGTAAGTTTCTGAAGAACACGGGAAAAAAATGTAACTCGTTAATTAACTTTCACTTATTAACTCGTTAATGCCCCGCCTTGCGTATAACATAATTACAATTCTAAAGAATCGCGCCTAATAAAAAACAGAATTTAAATTTGTGGCAATTCGCGCCCCCAAAAAACAATAATATAAAATGACCGAAACGGCGATTCACGCATATAATACCTTAGTATAATGGTCTTGCTTGACCGTTTGCAGTAAAAAGCCTATATTTTTTGTCGGCCGTGCTAATTATGTCTTCTACCTATTATATAATTCAGGTTTACACAGTTACAATAATATAAAACTAATACAAAGATAATGTGTTGTGCGTGTGTGTCGTGTATGTCTGTGACACTGTGGCAGCTGGCCATTGGTATGATGACCAGAGATGTGCTGCTGAAAAGTTTCTGAAATTTTCAAGTGAAACTTTTCATGAAATTTGAAAAGTTTAAAGGCTATTGAAATAAAAAGTATTGAAACTTTTCAATATCAAACATTTTATTTCATAATCATGAGTCATAATCGTTACCTTATTCTGTAAAATTGTAAACTATTAAAATTAAAACTGCCAATGTTTTGTGAACTTGCTATTTGTGATGTTTAATATTTTGGAAGATAATTATATCTTAAATTTACTCTTTACAACCATACTTTTTTGTATATCTGTTAAAAAAAGTTGATATTTTATCTGGCTCTAGTACTAAATCATAACAACCACTATAGATAACTGCAGTACCTATGTCAAAACTGAGTATTTGATATTATGATATAGTAGACATAGATCATGTTTCCAATAGCTTTTTTAAATTAATTTAGTAATTTAATAATATTATTATTTTTTAAATTTATTAGGTTTGTTATATTTTTAGTCTACGTTTGGTACAGCAGTTTTAAAATTTAATATCGTAGTTTCAATTGTAAAATGACTGAGAATGTATAAAACGCCACTGAGATTATATATAACGCAACTGAGATGATATAAAACGCGACTGAGATGATATAAAACAAGATTGAGATGATATTAATAATTGTTGACCAATTAAATAAGTATTATAATACAAATACAAACAATAAAATCAAAAAATATTAACATTCTTGTTAGGTATTAAATAATAGGTGGGTAACTTTCATGTTTACCAATTAATTAAGTATTTATTATAATATGTAAATAATATTAAAAAAAAAAAACGAAATAACACAGGCTCCTGTAGGACTAAATAATTATAACCTTATTTACAGAAATGTATGCAGGATTATAATAATTTATAATATACAGTGGTAAATTTAACACAAGTCCGAACATCTTTGTTATTATCAATTTGTATGTAAAATGTCTAATTCAATGAGTATTAGTGTAAGTTTTCGAACCTTTTCAAAACGATAGACATTGAACATAAAATTAATTAATAAGAATTAATACTTATGTTAAAAATTTGAGGGAGCAACACTACCAAAGTGATTTTAAATATTGTTAAAATAATAACATAACATTTGTATCACATTAATTAATTTATAAGATATCGTTCTGGAGATAAAACTAAAAGATAATATTTTTGGCCCAAGTTAAACACACGCCTCAAGTTTTCACGTTTGACGGTATATATGTTCCTTATATTAGTAGGTATCGCATATACAAAGTATGAATTTAGGAGTTGAAATTCATAACCCTTCATATTTTTTAGTCTTGGACATTTACATTTTATTTCGTACTTTTCCTATCATAAATCCTTATCATACTTTTCTTACAATAGCATTAATTTGGATTCTTTATTAGGTGGCTCATGTACCTATACCTATACCTATACCTCACTATGTACAAAAAATATTTGTTAAATTCAGAAAATTGTATTGTATGGTTGTTCAAATTTCAAGTTTATCCCACTACGATAAGAGCAACACAAAACATTGAACTTTTTTCATTACACAATATTTTTTAACCCCCATATATACCTAAGACGTTGTCAACAATCGAATACCATTTACAAATTGTATATTATTACATTATTTATTAAATTTTAGAGGCTCATGGTTAATAAACTAAAGAACCAAAATTGATGATTTGACTATCAAAATTTTCAGGAAAAAAAGTTTTACCAGAGTGCATTTAAAAAAATATAGTTTAAAAAATTTTGAAATTGTCGCCTTTTTCGTTTTAACGAAATTCTATGTCATCGATCCATAATCGTAAAAAACCTCTGACTACAATGACATACATCCTGTATAATATAATATCGTATTCGGTCGTAAGAACAATCTATAGAGTAGTATTATGATGACTAATGGTAATCGTAAATTGAGTTAGTGTTATGTGTACAGTGTACTTACCTTGTAAAGATGAAAATAAAAATAAGTAATTGGTATAGGTGTGTCTAAAATTATTAGATAAAAACACTCATTCCAGCCAAGTATAGTCTTAGTGCTTCCTCCTAGAACATGAAATACTTTATAGAGGCTCTGTATTTCATGTTCAAACCTCAAAACCAATTAGATAAAATATTAATTATTATACAGCACAATTAACTTGCTTGTACAATAATATTGTTCAATATTTCGTACTTGGTTTTTAATGACTCAATTAATGCCACTCACAAAATAGGTACTGAAATATTTTATCCATTGTTGGAAGAAAAATTTTATATCATAAGAGAATACTACAAATTTAATTATTTATTTATTTTTGAATAAATTGTAATAATATTACTGCCATAAACTTGCATAAATGCCAGACATATTAGCTTGGAACGGTCCACCAGCAGAAAATAATCGGGTTCCTGAATAATCATAGCAATGTGTATAAATTGAAGGTTTATAGTTGACTAGTTGAACTTCGTAATCCGCCATTAAATCTTCATCAGGATCCTAATAACAAATTTTATTAATTAACAAACAATATATGCATTTTAAATGATGATACTTACAGCATAACCTGTACTTGTTTTTAACACAACTTTTTTACTGGAGTGAATACTAGATTCTAAGTACTTTCCAGCCCGTATATCATAGAACATTATAATACCAAAACCTGTACCAATTGTAATTAAATTATCCTGGAAACTTAAAGACCTAACTCCTGCAACACAACAAATTAATAATTAAATTAGGATGAATTTATTTAAATTATACTCAGAAATCTCTAATAAATATAGTTAAAGTTGTATAATCAAATTAAACAATAGGTTTGTCTTAATTTTTTCATTTAAAAAAATTACTAGGAAAATGTATTGTTATAGTTTGTGAGAGAACAAGTTGCGGACTCACCATAATTGAATTTATGCACACCCCTATTCAACACCATTGCAGGAATTTTTTTTATGATTTCTATAGTTCTTGAATCAATTAACAGTGTATATAATTTGGACCCAACAGCATATAAACTACTATCATTTTTCGTTTCCATGCAGGAAATTTCCTGATTATAAGAAAGTTTTCTTGAAAACTTCTGTAATGCAAAATGAGACATTAATTAAAATTTAAGAAATTCAAAATTGCATAAATATGTATTTGTGACCATTTTATTTATTGACGGTAAATGGACGTTCATTTTCATTTATATACGAATAATAATAATAATAATAATAATCGGATCACGTTAGTAACTGTTAAATTAAGTAATTAGTACTATTTAGAATATATATTCTTATTAGATTAAAAATTAGATTGTATGTCAGAAATAATAATAATCGAAATTGCTATTACTTGTCTAAAATGTTCAACATCCCAAACATGAACATATCCATTTAGTGACAATGTAATCAGTTCTTTTAAACTCTCGTTAAATGTGATTGCTCGGACGTTTTGTGCTGTCTTGCAATTTCTTATAACTGTAGGCTTGAGAAATTGAGTAACTGGTTGTATGAGGTCACCATCACAATCATAATTTTCTTGGCTTATGTCTCGAACTTGCCATAAAGCAATCGTATTATCCTGTGATCCACTTACAAAAAACTCTTCATCTAACCATTCTATGTCGAATATCAAATCCTTGTGAGCACCCTATTAAAATAATAGAGTAAATAAAAGTTACGTGTTTATTTTTAATGTTGTTTACTTCGGCTAGAACAATTGGATTTAATGTTGACATCTTATAAATACAGATTTCATTAGAATTATATGCGCCTGTTGCCAATAATGTTCTGGACGGATTAATTTTTAATGAACGAATACCGCTTCGTTGATTAGTTGCTTCATCTAAATGTCCCTTTATCGATGGTATTTGGTCCAGTTTATATGATTTTACATTATAAACCATTAACTAGTAATACAAATAGTAAAACAATTATTGTAATATGTAGGTAATAAAGAGATTGCTAATGAATAATACAACTTATTATTTATATTTTATTGAGTATAATTTAAGTAACTAGTCAATAATATTAAAATATTATTTATTTATGTTAGTACATTTTTATTTAATACAACATTTTTAGATATCTATTTACTAAGTGTATGGACTATGATCAGATTATAAAATTATTTTTAGAAGATACTATAGTTTGTTATCCTTCCACTTGGGCAAGTGAACATTTGATCACTCTGGTTTGTCAACCATAACAATAAAAAAAACTAATATACCTTTTATGTGATAGTGATTTTTATTTTTATTAAATACCTTTTCCCAAAAAGGCAAGAATTATAAAGAATTAATAATGATAATATTAGTATTACCATTTAGCGTAAATTCTAATATATAATATAGGTACTCAATGTGGAACTTTTTTGTTTAACCGGAAACCTTTTTTTTTGCAATTTTTCAGGGTTCCTTAGTAAAAAACGGAACCCTTAAAGACTCGTCATGTCTCTCTGTCTGTCCGTCATGGTGTCACAGCCACTTTTCTCCGAAACTATGATAGTTATACTGTTGAAAATTGGTAAGTAGATGTATTCTATGAACCGTGTTAAGATTTTTACACAAAAAAATAAAAAATAAATACATATTGGGCGTTGCCCATATATAGAACTGAAACTCAAAATGTTTTTTTCATCCAACCCATACGTGTGGGGTGTCTGTGGATAGATCTTCAAAAATGATATTGAGGTTTCCAATATAATTATTTTTTAAACTGAATAGTTTAGAGACATTTCCAAAGTGGTAAAATTTGTGTCCAATCCCCCTATAACTTCTAAAATAAGAGAATGATAAAACTAAAAATAATATATGATGTACATTACCATGCAAACTTCCACAGAAAATTGGTTTGAACGAGATCTATTTAGTAGTTTTTTTTTAATAAGTAAATAAGTAAATAATATTAATAATAATAATAATAGTATATACATAATATAATATAATATATATCTATTTTGTCATTTTTATATTTAAAAATGTAATCTCAATCACGGGCTAAGATAGACTAAGATTGGCTATAATGCCACAATGGACTGAGACTTGGTATAAAACTTCTGCTGGACCTGCTGGTGGGGCCAAAGTTTGTGCCGGCTGAATGAAACGACTTATTATATTTTATGTTACTTGCTGCTACTTGCTTGCTTTCATGTTTGAGTCCAACTCGCACTTGGCCGCTCTTTTTTGTGAATAAAGTAGTAAAGTTATAAAGTTGTAGCTAATTGAAATTTATAGTAATTTGATAACTACATACAATAAAACAAAAGAAAGGGTGTCTTGTAAAACAGAAATATACCTCTAACGGTATTAGTCCCTTAGTCGTCGAATATATTGTTGACGGTGATTCATAAGCCGGGGAGTGGCAAATACAAACCAGTACCTTATAAAATTTTAACTTTAAAATGTTAATTTCACCACAATAAAGAAAAAACTTATTATTTTATCATTGTAAAATCTATGAATGTATCTGGTTTTAAAATTGTTTTATAAAATAGTACTGTAGGTACCTACTGTTAAGTATAACTGTATACATGTATTTTGTATACCTAATGGTTAAGAGTAATTATTATTATTCAATTTTGAATTATACCTATTAGTAATTTTAAGAGTATAATTTCTAAATGTAAATGTTAGAAATGCTATAATTATAGGTATTCGGTGTAGGTACTTACTTTATTACATTTCGTACCAAAGACAATTTCATTTTTACTAAGCCATTGTGAACAAAAAACTTTATTCATTGTTTTCAACGGTATAGAATGTTCTTTGAATAAGATATGTGTTAGTACATGCCTTGTACTAAAATTTGTATTTACTGAATGATACTTTCGCATTCCATATTCCCGATTTCTTATATAATCAATTAAGTTATAAGGAGTGTTTAACATTTTTCTCTCTTCTTCTCCATCTGAGTCTTCATGGAGAACAAGAAATTCCGAATCATCTGAGTTTCTGGCCTTTTCCAATCTCGCTATACCTGATTGTAAGCTACGTTCAAGTCGGGAAAGGTAGACACTTGGTGGCTGTGAATCTATGACTGGCGGCACGTACCTTGTTTCTGCCATTCTAAAATAACAATAACCAAGAAATACAAATTATGAATTGACGAAATTCTAACTATCAGGCAGGAGGAAGGGGCACGAGGTTTTCCCTGTCAAAAACAGCACGTTATGTAATATTGTCTTACTCGAAAAACGTCGACGAAAAACAATTCTCGAGTATTTAGGACAAGAGAACAAACTGCGAGCGCCGCAGCCGTTACGTGTGCCGGTGGAGCTTCTAATGGCGGCAGGTAGGGGGGGAAGACGCGAGCATAACAATTTATTTTGACTTTCTTGTAGATATTTTTTTTTGATAAAGATGAACAAACTTATGAGGAATCTTGTATTATATTTTAAAATCTTAGATTTAAGAAGAAAAAAATTTATGAATTTCTAACTGAAAATAATTTGCTAATTTTCGTGTTTTTTCCGTAGTTTGTCAATATCTGAACTTTAAATGCTTATAAAGAAAAAAAAATGTGAAAAACTAATAAATAAATATTAATAATACAATTTATTGGTGTAGAATCTACACCTAATATCTAACACTGTAAATATTTAGTTGTATCGAATTTCATTATATCTCGTCATCGGAGTGATAAAGATAAAACAGGTACCCATATAATAAGATATAGGTATTATATTATAATATATATCTATGAAAAAAAAAAAAATAATAAAACAATATTGTAATAACAAACTCATGTCACTTATTGACTTATGTTATGTGTTAATTCTGTCACAGACCCCCGACATGAGTGGGAAACAGGTTAAGAACTGCTGCATTAGACAACTATCATACAGTGGTTCAAAATTTAAAAAAAGTGGGTAAGTGGATGTCACTCTGCTGTACAATAGGTTTAAGCGTGTCAATGTATAAAGGATTGCATTAAACTTGAATTGAATGATATAATATCATTGTATAAGAAAAACGATTCTGAGTGGACACGGTTTATCAATTGTGAGTCTGGATATTTGTATTATTTATTATATCCTGTAAGTTGAATTTATATTATAATAGGTATTAATATTTTTTATTCGTTGCTATGGTGAAACTCCGCTAATGTGAAAATGTACAATTATTAAATACATCCTATAAGTAACACCTATAACTTATAAGTAAAAAGTTCTTATTACTTAATGAAGTTTAAAAATTTTAAGTTAGTTTTATTTTATTTTTCAATCAAAACCGTGTATTTTCTACAAAGTAGTTTTTAATTATTATTTATTTATTTGTATATTTAAACAGGCTTACTCATAGGCACACACCTTGTTGACAGGAGAGCCGTCATAATTTAATATACCTAATTTAAAAAATAAAAAATAATAGGTTAGGGTACAATGTATTTATTACCTATTGTTAATATACAAATTTGTGAATGTATAATATTATTCATATTGATAATTATATGAGTCATAACATAGGTTTATCATTATAAGTATTTATTATATTTTAGTTTTTCAGGCAAAATTGTTATAAAAAATTATCAAAATAAATTGATATTATTTATAAATTAATAAATCGAATAAATCGAATAAATATTATCAAAATTACGATATCCGTTTTGCATCTGTATATTTTTTCGGGCGGAATATAATATTATAGACCTTATTTTTATCTGTTCACTTCGATTGGAATTTACAATACCAATTTTGGAGCAGTGTATAAAATACTTCTGTAGACTGTATATATTATAATATAATAACCTGTTCTTTCGTCACAAAAAGTTTAAAGATAATTTTTTTTTTATAATTCTTAGGTATCAAAACATATAAATATAAAATACAGCAATTGAACTTGAAGAAAAATTGAAAAGAAGAAAAATCTCAATTAATCCAATTGAACCCTGCTTACTAATAATTGGTACAATGATGAATCCTTCTGAAAGTAGAGGTGTATACTTTGACAAACTAAAATATAGGTACATTTTTACCGATTGTCAAGGCTAAAGATATGGGTTTTAAAATTGATCGCGTTTTTAACTTAGATTATCCATTAGAATCTATAAATGTATTCAACGTTTTTATTATAATATTAAGTTAAAGTGTCACAAACCATATACTACTATAAGCCAAATTATTTCTGAACTAAAATAAAAAACAATTATTCATTAGGTATATTTTTAACATTTCAATATTATCAAATGCAGGTACTATGTATAATAATGTATAGGTACCTAATATATTAAAAAAATAATTTTGTATGTATAATTTATAATAATCTCATAAGATTGTGATTTTTATATGAATATTCATTGTAAAGCAACAAATGTTTTACAAATGGAGGTTTACTTTGTAATTATAATTTTTTTTTTTTAATTGTTGTTATTCAATTAATTGTGTTCCGTGACTTGTATGGTATAATGTTATTATGTTCTATTTTAAAATAAATTTATAAAGTATAATATACTAGGTACCTATGTATATTATACAAGAACGTGCGTGTGTGTGCACAGACGGATTTACACGATTGCCGCCCCTAGGAAATTTTTTTTTGGCGCCCCATTAAACTTATCAACGAGAAAACGTATTTTTAAATACTTATTTAACATAAGTACTAAAAAAACAATTCATAAAGACTGAAACTAAACAATAATTAATGGCGGTTATGTTAATAAACTGTTCTTATCAAGTAAATAGTATAACAATATAATATTTACCTATTAAAATATAATACATCACCATTTTTTTGAATAAATTTGCTGTACCAATCAAATATAATTATAATATAGATAATATAATTAAGTTCCTTCACCAAATTCATGTTTTCAATCAAATTTAAATTATAGTATTATAATTATTAATTATATCTTTTGGATAGAAAAAGTTTTATTTTTGTACACATAATGCATAGTACGTTTATATTATATAAAAATATTCACAGCGACTGGTTTATAATAAAATTAGACTATCGTTCCAATACGAATCGATCGTCACACGTATTCGTATTAAATATATCATATCTATATGTATTGTGCGTGTAGTGTGTGTACGCCGTTCGATCAAACGAACCACGAGCGATATTATTAATAATTATTACGACTTAGCAAAAAAACAAAATAACGAAATATTTTATCTATGTTTAGTATTTAGATAATAGATCTACGTTCCGGCAGTCGTTCGATAATTTACTTGGACGTTTATTGTTATGTATTATAAAATAAAGAAGAAATTATATTAACATTTAACTAGAATATTATTATACTTAAATACTAAACATTTTTTTCCCATCCTTCAGAGTAATGACCGTACATTAGAAAATCAAAAGGAAACCTAGAGTATTCTCAATAAAATATTGGCCTAAAATTGCCGCCCCTAAAAATTTGCCGCCCTAGGCAACTGCCTACTTTGCCTGACGCTAAATCCGCCATTGTGTGTGTGTATGTGGTGATCGGTGCGGTGATATCATAATTTTTGCCGATGCGACGGCGACAATATTGTCGTGTTACCTACTCATTTATATTATTACCAAAGTCATTGGTCCATCCAAGTTTCACTTTCAACATATTGTCTGTATTATTATGTTGCTATTATATTATTTATAATTAATTAATATTATTATTATATTTAGTATAGGAATGTCAGTTTCTATAATACGTAAAAATTAAATAATACATTTTGTTTTTTAGTTACATAAAACTCCCTACTCTCAACAATAGTTTTGCTTATATAGAGTAGGTATATATGAACTTATATATTATATAATATTATATAATAATAATATTAATAGTTGAAATTAATAACCACCGCAGAGAAAAGCAAACTTAGTAACCGAAAACAATTTAGATAAATAAATAACATATCGGATATTAGTACCTAATTACAATTTATATTTTATAAAATATTACCTTACAATTATATGAAAAGTATAACTTACGTATATTATTGTTATTGGTGAGGATTTTTGGAGAAGAGCTCGCGATGTTGATATCTTGAAAGTTCAGTGAGCAACAGCTTATGTATTTATATCCTTGAATCTAATAAAAAAAATAAATAAAAGATGAAAGTTATAATAATTCCTGTTTTTTTTTTTTTTCATCACTAGACTAGCAAGGAAATAATTAAACAAAATGTTTACCTGTTCAAGTGCAGTATAATATACTAATAAGAGGAATATACTAGTGCAGTAAGTAATAGACTATAAACGTGTATAAGCAAACAGCGCAGTATAATTCGCACGGAATCGGTGGTGGTTGTACGTTCGACGTTCGATCCGTTAATAAGTAAACTGAAAACATGTGTGAAATTTTGAGATCGAAAGGTTAGGTCAGACTATTCTCCGGCCGAAAGAATGCAAAAAGAGACAGTGACAATGCCACACCGTTCGACCTGGCTTTGACAAGAAATACTATATTGTATTATTTTATTATAATGGTACTGTCGTGGTGGGCTGTCTTATGGTCAGTTGGACCCTTTTCTCGTCCAATAAAAAAAGGGTATACATGAATGGTGTTCCTAAGCCATACTAGTTAGGAAGGAGAATTTTTATTACGTTTTCAAGGATTTTCGGTTGTGTTTAATTATGAGGGAGCTCTGATGTTATGTTTCGATAATATTACATGCCTAATATTATAAATTATGAATGGATTTTGATACCGATTCCTGAAGGTCAATTAGCATGAATAACAGGGGTTGCGAACGTTCTAATAACGTTATGATTATATGATATATTTGACAAAAAACGATTGAAATATTTTGTAAACGTAATTAGAACAGAATGCAATAATAAAAAATAATTAAATACCGCAAAACAAAACATAGCAATAAGCAAAATATATTATAATATATACTGTTATTATTAAACAGAACATAACACATACAGTAATTTATAGAATACCATTGAACGAAACATAACACAAAACGAAATATTTTAAAATCGATTTATTTACAAGGTCTATTAGTTTTGTTGAAACATGTATTTCGTGAGAACAATCTAAGAACTGATTATATTATTTTCCGTGTCCGGGCCTTTACCTACAAGTATTAATTATTATTTTTAAATTTAATTGGTAGGTATTTACACT